GAGAATGAATAGATGTTCATACCCCTAGAGTCACAAGCTAACCTTCTGTTAGTATTTATAATGATAGGATTGGAGGTATCCTCATAGACCACAGGCCTCTCAGATAGATACACAAAGAGGTAGACACAGGCCTTTCTGAACCACATAGTGACCCACGGGTGTGGACTTTCCAGGAGAATACACAAGATAATCTGTACTGTACACACACTTCTAATGTTGCTGGCCCGTGAATGCAGCAACTCTGGGTACACATGGGCACACGCATGCGCACACACAATACCTTCATGTTCTCCTGAATTATACCTGCATCTATATCTTTGTTCCTCTCCTTTGTGGTAAACATATCTGTCACAAATTATTCTTAATATTTTATTTCTTACATTACAAACTAATGAACCTTAGGAGTTGGCTCACAGATATGTCTTATTTAATTTATAGTGTGATTTTGTTCAGTTGTTTGTTTTTGTTATTTTGCTTTGAATGGCTTTGAATATAGGGCATGCACATTTATATTATCTGAGTGGATCCCGGATGCATTTAAATGTATAGCAACAGACTTTCTGTGTTGAGACATGATCTAACAAGATATGAATTACTTAATTGAGCAGGGTGAAGGTTATTTGAGGGAACTGGTATGCACCCTTGAAATAAAAGAAACTGGACTACAACGGGTAATAAAATCTGCTATAATGGCTTATTTTGACAGCCTTAAGAATTTTTCTTCACAAGCTATTTACAAGTTAAAAAGAGGTTAATACTTTTATCCACACAAGAATGTAGCCCATGGAATCTTCCAAAGACTTGTCAGTTGGATAAATCCTCAATCTGGATGCCTGAGGCAACTTGTGCTTTGCAATAAATTCTTAAATGCAATGCAAAATTTTATTTTAGTAATGACAGTTATACCAAAGATTTTGAATAATTGTTAAATGTAAGTTAGATCGCATTCAAGTATCTTTCCTTCACTTGCATTCTAAATTGTGTATTGTGTAAAAGAGGATGGAAGAAGAGAGGGAGAAAGAGAGAGTTAAGATACTAAGATTTTTGCTTAACTCTCAAAAGATCCCTGGGGTTGAGGCCCTCATGTGGACATCATTTTGAGATCACCTCTAAATAAAGGCTGAAGACTTGAAGGAGCTTTATAGGGAGTGGCTTAACTATACAGAAATTCTCTCTATCTTACTTATCCCCAGTACTTGGCCCTTAGTAGTTGCCCACATAATATTCCTAGAGGGTTTCCCAACTCTCTAAATGTGTGTGTGTATGAGAAACCCTGTGATCTGACCTCTGGAGACACCTCCCTCTCCCATGATGTGTTTGCCCACACAACGGTGCTGACTTGAGTCTTTAAGACTTTAGTGGAAATTGTATAATTGGCATAGCCCCAAGGTTGGAAGATAGGAAGATCAGTCTTCCAGGAAGAAGGCAAGTAAAGCTAATTAGCAGCCTCAACTGGATTTCCACCCCCCAGTGTACATGCCCTATGTAATTACCTCCCTGTGGGTGTGGGTAGGACCTGGATATAGGACAGGAAGGCACTCTGATGGTGCTACAATGTGACACAAAGGTGAAGGGATTTTGCAGATATAAATAAAGAAAAAATCAAATCAATAATCAAAAGGAAGATTATTATGGGTGGGGGACTTAATCAGTTAAAAATCCTTAAATGAAGTACTAGGTGCTTCCTGAAGAGAAGCACTCTCCTCCTGGCCTTGAAGGAGCAATAGCCATGTTGTATAATAACTACTTATGGAGAGGGAAGTCCTATGGAGGCTTCTGTCCTACCACTAAAAGCAGAGGACCTAGTTAGCCATGTGTGGACCCCCGACCCACAGAAACTCCAAGGTAAAAAAAGCTGTACTCTTTTAAGCTTCTAAACCTATGGTAATTTGTTATATAGCATTAGAGAACTGATACAGGCACAGTTACTAATATAAATGGCAAAATAAAATTAAAAAGCAGCATAACATGTAAAATACAAAACAATGCATGGTAGGGAAATAATTTTAGTGTCTATCCCTGGACAGAAACCTCTGAAAATGATGTTGGAGGGGGTCACAAGTCACACGGCTATGATTGTTTATGTTCGGTTTGTCTTTCCCTAAGCCGAGCTTTGCATGGCCTCTGCCATGAGTATTTCTATAAATTTCTATGGCCTCTCCCATGGAAGAGCCTGACCTAGACTCAGTGAAGATAGAAATGAGGATGCAAATATGCTTATGGCCTGGTTGAGGAGTCAAATGCACACAAATACATGTGGTTGAGTATGTGAGATGCTCCTTTGGAGGCCGAAGGGCCTTTCCTAAATAAAAAGGCTGGGAGATTTGAATGGATTGTTTTGTTGTTGGTAACTGATGGCAAATGGAAAAAAAAATAATAATAATATACAGAAGAGTAATGTGATCCATTTTATGTTGTGGGAAACTGTGGTCCCTAACCCCTAGGCTGCAGACCAGTACCAGCTTGTGGCCTGTCACATCACTGCTGAGCTTTGCCTCCTGTTTCAATACCCTTACCTACTACATCCATGGAAAAATTGTCTTCCATGAAACAAGTCCCTGGTACCAAGAAGGTGGGACTGCTGGTCTCCGTGATAGCTGGAAGACCAAGGGAGGCAAGAGAGGTAGTAAGAGAACATATGTGGGATGCAGACGCCTCCCATGCACTCTTCCATCCCTAAGGCACAGCACAGGGACCATCCAGTAGTGGGCTCAATAGATGCTGGCTCACTCATAAACCAACGGATCATCAGATGAGAGCTCCAGAGGCGGCAAGCATGGACCACAGAGCTAGAAAAGAGACTCTTTCAGGCCTCCAGGGTCTGGAGCATGAAGCAGAGAATGGGAGTTGAAAATCTATCAGGTCCAGTCTCAGGACCTCTGTTGAACCAGAATAGAAAGAGGTAATAACCTCAAGGTCAAACAGGCTGAGAGTATCCAGGGATCAGGAGCAGCTCAGGGATCCAATCTAGCACCACTGTTCAGGCTTGGAGTCCTGCCTGCCCCCCAGTATGAACATACATTCTAGCTCAGGCCACATTAACACCCAGTCCTCCATCAGTTTTTTAGGCAGCCTCTGTCCCTAGTCTGTGGCCCATCCTCATCCCTTCCCCCCTTTCCTTCTCTCACTCCATGCTTACTCCCAGCTGCTCCCTCTTAAGATCATGTCAGGGCATTGTTCACTTGACCAACCTGATCAACTGCTCCATATTATAGATCCGGCATCCTCCTCTCTTTATTGTGACTGAGGGATACAACGTTCCTTTTTATCCCCTCTGCCTGTGCTACCAATCCCTCCATCCATTCACTTGTTTTGTTCACTTACTCACTGAAAATTATTTATTCAACAAGGATATCATTCTAGGCACTAGAGACACAGCACTGAACATGAAACAGAGGTCCAGGCTCTCATAGAGCTGATATTATAGATGGGGAGGTAAAGAACAGGCGAACAAATGAACTAAAAGATTTCAGAGTTATAAGTGCTCTGAAAAAAGAAAAAAAAAGTTAAGTGTTCCCAAACTCCTCAGTTTTCTATCTCAACATATTTTACCCCAGCCATTAAATGACCTCAGCCCAAAGTCTAAGAAGCATCCTGGACTCATCCCTCTCAACACATCCTTTACTTTTAATTACCAGTCACCAAATCATGTGGATTACAGCTCTCAATGGCTCTCAAATCCATCTGTTCTTCTCTGGCTAATGGTATTTAATGATGACACCATCTCTTTTTTTTTTTTTTTTTTTTTTTTTGAGACAGAGTCTCAAGCTATTGCCCTAGGTAGATGCCGTGGCATCACAGCTCAACACCATCTTTTTGCCCAAATTTCTACAGTATTACCCAACTGGTCTCTTCCCTCTGATTGTACCTTTTTTCTCTGTATCATGACCCAGCTTAAAATGGTTCAATGGTTCTCTATGGTTTCTGCAGTCAATGTCAACACCTTTAGCTTTATAAGCACACAAGGCCTCTTGTTATCTGTCCTGCTGAAGCCTTCATCTATTTCCCTACACTCACCTCCCTACACAGCTTTCACTCAGCCATATTTACAGGTCTCCACATCAGGGTGTGACACCCCTCACATCCTTGGTGTATTAGGCCTTCACTTGAAGTGTTCCCTGCCCATTCTTCTCGAACTTCTTTGTTCAAACTCAAATCAAGTGTTACCTCATTTAGGAAGACTTTCTCTCATGGTGACCACGGAGTTCTTTCAAGGTTTACAGAGAGAAGATACATGAAATCCTCCACACAACAATGACACTCAGTTTATGTGTTGTTTCCCTGACAGAGTTTCATGAATAAAGTTTTCTATTTGCTGTGACACCATCTCAGAATACAGACTGAGGTGGGAGACATTCTCCCATTGCTTTAATGAAATGGACTCATGCACAGGAAATTTCCCATGTCATGTTTGTTTATTGCTTAATACTTTTTATCATATTTTGAGCTGCTAAACATTCTTCTTAATGGTCTGAAAATTATTTTGATATATCCCAAGATTGGAGACAAATCCCTTGGGTATCACCATCCCAGACAGCACATGCAATAATAATTCATGCAGTTCCCAGCTCTGAGGGTTGGCTACTGCCATTTTCAATTTCAGACTGTTTCTTGGCACAAAGCAGATCTCTACTTCCTGGGCACTGGTTGTAGAGTCCACCAACATGCCACTATCCATGGAAAAATATGGGGCCACACACCTCCATCAAACCAAGATCCATCAGGTGGTGGCCTCCATGGGCTGACCTCTGACATTAGAAGGCCTGCCCTGACTTTCTAGGGGGTTAGGGGCTAGGCACTCTGTAAAGGGAAAAGCTGCTTTCTGAGAATGGATTTTCCTTTAGACATCTGTTCCTGAACAGCTTTCTCTCCCAGCATACACACACAAAACACACATCCAATTCTTACTCTCATCACTAGGTCAGACTTTCTAACTGCACTGAGTCTGGTCTGAGCCTGATAGTCCCTAGAAGCGGTAGGAAAAGATGCCGTTCTCTTACTTGCATTCAGCAGAGTCTGAATCTTTTTCTCCTCTTCAGCTTCTTGAAGTAGCTTTTCCGCCAGTGTTTTGTCCTCTGATTCTATGCACACATCAGATTCTCGAAGGTATTGTAGGTAGTCAATCTCCCGTTGGGCACGTTCGACTCTCAGTGCCAAGGTATTCACAGCACTCTTATAGTCATTGGTGTGGGTCTGACATCTCCCCAGCATCATGGATATGTTTTTTGAGAACTCTTGGAAGTCTCGAATGTATGCTCTCGTTGTTTGGGTACATTTTTCCAGCCCTTGCTTCAGTCAGAAAATAAATTCTCAAATTATTGCTAGTTATGTAAATTACCCAAGTAATACAAATAATAGAAAAATACAAATAATCAAAAAGGGGAAAATAAAAATCATAACCTCTAAATTCAAAGGTACTATTGATACTTTAGACCTGTAGGGGTGTCCAGCCTGTGGGCCACATGAAGATTATTTGAGAACTGTTTTGCTTATCTATGGTGTCAAATATTGTGAAAAGTATGCATGGGCCTTTTTTTATTTTGTGCTCATCAGCTTTCATTAGTGTTTGTGTATTTAATGTGTGGCCCAACAACTCCTCTTTCAATGGGCAGCAGAAAAGAAAAAAGGTTGGACACCTGTTTGCAACCATTTAGCCATACATACATATATATGTATATATTTTAAAATGTGATTTTTTAATCTATATATTATGTTACATTTTAATTTGATGATATATTGTGAACATATTTCAATACCAATTAATATATGTGTATACCTATAGCATAAATTTAATAAGAGAGCATTCCTTTGAATTGATATCCCATTGTTCTGTTAGACTCTTTTTGGTATACATCTATATATAGTTTTCAATTTTTTGTCATTCACACAAAACAAGAAATAAAAGTATTTGTGTTTATATCTTCATGTACTTATCTGGTTATTTTCTTAGGATAGATTTCCATAATTAGACCACATCCCCAGCACCTGACCTAAGGTCAACACCTAGTAGTACTGAGTAGATATTTGTTGAATGAAAGAATAAAGGACTAGAAAGGGGACTCATGAGTCAAACAGTATGTGTACTTAAAGATCGTTTGGCACAATTTACCAAAAGGCTCTCTACTAATGTAAAAATTTATACTCCATACAGCAGTATGCAAAGCTACTTCATTTTGAAGTAGGAGGAGAGCCAGAAAGAGTGAGAGAAAAAGAAAATTCTTCCCTAAATCCCTATCCTTTTTTGTTTGTTTTGTTTTTGAGACAGAGTCTATGCCCTAGGTAGAGTGTTGTGGCATCATAGCTCACATCATCAAACTCAACCTCTTGGGCTCAAGTGATCCCCTTTGCCTCAGCCTCCCAAGTAGCTGCACTACAGGTGCCCACCACAAAGCCAAGCTAGTTTTTCCTATTTTTAGTAGAGACAGGGTCTCACTCTTGCTCAGGCTGACCTCTTAACTCCTCTAATTCCTGAGCTCAAATAATCCACCTGTCTTGGCCTCCCAGAGTGCTAGGATTACTGCTCCTGGCCCTGATCCTCTTTTTTTCCTACCCTTCTGACACACACTTCTTAGGCTAGAAATTAATTGTATTACTTCCTTGTTAAGTGTCTGCACTGGCTAACTTGGCTTTACCTTCAGGTCAGGACTAGGGTGGGAAGACCTCTACAGACCACATCCCTGTCTTTTTTTCAAATCCACATCCATAGCTATGAAAAGTCTCAGCAGTTCCTCCTCTGCAGACTAACTCTTTTTTTTTCTTTTTTTTCTTTCTTTGTCGCCGTACGTAGAGTGCTGTAGTGTCACAGCTCACAGCAACCTCTAGTTCTTGGGCTTAGGCGATTCTCTTGCCTCAGCCCCTCAAGTAGCTGGGACTACAGGTGCCCGCCACAACGCTTGGCTATTTTTTGTTGTTGTTGCAGTTTGGCCAGGGCCAGGTTTGACCCTGCCATCCTGGGTATATGGGGCCAGCGCCCTACTCACTGAGTCATAGGCACCACCCAGACTAACTAACTCTTAAGATATTAAAATTTTGTAGGGATTTGGCTGGCTCTACTCTTAGGGAAAGTCGATGCTAAATGCAGAGGGACCAAGACTGAACACCATTCTGTCAATATTAAGGAGATGAGACGGAGAAACGGGGTGTCTGGGGAGGAAATATTTAGGAATATTTCATTCAACACCTCCAAGCCTCAGTCTGTTGGCTGCACAAACTTGGGAGATGCTTTCAGCTTGTGCAGAATTATTTTATCCTGACTGTAAATATATGACCGATAATTTGGATGTGAAGATTTTTCGGGAAAATATAGAAAATAATTATTAGAGATAAAAGTGTTTTCAAAAGAAGATAAATAATTTATCTGTTTAACTTGTACAAAAGCAAAGCAGCAAGAATGAAATAGTCAGTACCAGGGTGTGGCAAAGGATAGAGTTACGTTTGCCCTGTGGGCCTGTCCATGCTATGAAAATGTTGGGTTTTGTATGAGGTGGCAGCTTAAATGTCCAAGTCTAATTTGGCAAAAGAAGTAATAGCTCCTCGGTGTACTGATATCATGACTTTTTATAGTGAACTAATGACTTCTCATAAAAGGACAAAATGAAAAGTTAAAAATCTATCATGATCCTAATACAGTAAAACATGAAAAAAGTGGCCCCAATTTTTAATGTCCACATTAAAAGAAATCAAATGACAGCGAAACTATATTTCGGATATATATCATTGTGCCAGGCAATGTTTTAACTATGGATTAAATCTTCAGAATAGCTTTAGGAAGGGGTGGGAAGGTGCGGCTTTCTGATTTCAAGGTCATTCTTTTTTAAGCATCCAAGGAAGTAAGAAAAGCTTCATCTTTCTCTGCTGCACCCCTTTTAATGAAAGGATTTGCTATGAAAAATTTGGATTCAGTCAAGAAGCCACACTTAATGACCAGGAAGTCCACGAATTTCCTTAAGGCTTCCTCCCCACTGGGAGCACTTAAAAGTGTAACTCTGGCAATGCCTTTACCAATTACTATCTGGGAAAAATGCATTTCAGGAGATAAGGAAGCGTGGGTGACATAAAGTAACTTCCAGGAGGCATGTTCCCTTCCAAGGTGCCCAGATGCCACCTACCTCCAAGACTCGAAAGCGCTGGTAGATGTAATGCACCATGCCTGGGTCCTGGGCACACTTCGGAGGGGGCAGAAAAGCTGCAAGAAGCAGAACCAGCAAAGCAGAAGCTCGCCAAAGGGCCGCCATCATCCTGCAAACCACCACGGGGTGGAATCTCTTATGCTGTAGTTCCCTAAGAAGATTCCAGGGTCCAGGTGGTGGTCTCCTGCTTTCTATCTGCTGCTGTAGCAAATCCTCCAAAAACAGCACCTTGTACAGCCAGAAAGCAAAGTCCGCTTGTTATTCCACCCGATGCATGATCTCAGTCTGCAAACTGGTGATCAAGTCCAGCTGTTGGCGAGCTGGTCCCTGGAGGCCTTGCAGGCCAACTTGTGGCAGAGAGTTCCCCGGGTCCAGCATCAGTTGCCCTCACCCTTGACACACAGGGACCCTCCCCAGCTTAGTGGTGGCACACTGCTGCTTCCAGGCTTGGGGGTGTGTGTGTGTACTGGGGTGGGAGTGGAGAAGGCTTCCCCTGGCCCCATCCCCCTCCCCCATCTGTTTCCTTTTTACTTTTACTTTCCTCCTCCCTAGTGAATTCTGCAGACCAATCACAGGCCTGACCCAACACAAACCATTTCCAAGTTCTCAGAGTTGGAATCTCAGTTTAGCTTCTGGCAAAAACTCCCAGGATTTTTTTCCCAGAAGTCCTACTGGGAGACCCCACCCCTCCTCCAGACTCCCTTTGCATTCCTGCAGCTCTTAAAGGCACAGCAAGGAAAATGAACATTGATATATCACTATCTCTGAATAGCCAGTGCATGGGTCTGCATCATCTCCCATTGGGCAAAAAGTATGGTGGGCAGATGGCATCTGTGGTTCAAAGGGGTGGGGTGCTGGCCCCATATACTGGAGGTGGCAGGTTCAAACCCAGCCTTGGCCAAAAAAAAATAAAGTACGGTGGGCTACCTACAGGCCTGGCTGTCCAGGCTGACAGCTGAAAAATCTCAGGATTGAGCTGAGAAGAATGTGGTTAAGAGAAACAACAATTATTGATACAATGATGCTTCCAGAGCCAAGCCAGCAGGAAATGAAACTCCTTTGTAAGGAAGTCCTTGAGTATTCCCAAGCACTAATGGTAGAATTCCCTTCCATGTAGCTGCAGATTTGAAATAAGTAGGGCTCAACTCCTGCAAGCCCCTGTTGGATTATACACAAATCATATCTCTAGGGCAAAGTGGTAAAATCTCCCAATTTTGCCTTTGCCATCCAGCCCTCTACTTATGTCAACCTCTCTTTCCATTGGTAAGCCCAAGACTTTTTATGCCTCTTTCTCAATTACTTAACAAAGTGAGGAAGTTTGGGGCATTTCCACTCAGATGCGGGAAAATCGCCTGTCGGGAGTCAGAAGACCTGGGTTTGCAATGGTCCCTGCAAGAGACACTAATAGACTGAAGCTTTCCACTGGTGGCTCTTCAATTTCCTTGTCCTCTATAACTATTCCTCCCTATCCCTCTTCTATATGACCTTAGCCCTTAACTATTCCTCCCCACTCTCTTTGCTAAAATCCTAAACACTAGCACCTCATCCTTAAAACCAATTCCTCCTATTTCTGAGAACCATCTTTGAACTATACCCTAAACTAATTGAACTTGCCCTGACCCCTCCTCCAAAATCCTTACTAGAAATTTAGCCCAACTCAGGCTCCTTCTCCAAGTGAGAGTGTTCTCCCGGAGATTTCCCATGCCTGACCTTTTCAAATAGGGTCTTATAGTAAAGGTGCCTTAGTTGATTTTCTTCCACAAATGCCTCAGCCCTAACTTTGAGATTGTGAAATAAGATGGGGAAGGTCCAGGAGAGGAAAACTCTTGACTGCCTCATAATTAACTTTTGGGTGGTGGTGTTTGGGTTATCATTTCTTTGGTTTTCTATAGCTTGCTGACATTTTTTTTACAGTGAAAGATACAAACAATATTGATGAAGTGTAAAGAACTCCTGGAGAGGCAGTGGATGGGAATGCAGCGGGAGGTCTCAGTTGCAGCACAAAGCCTTGGGCAGCTTTCAGGGTTGCTTATGTCCCTCTCTTTCTGAGGTGGATCCAAGGAGTTAGGGAAGACCTGGCAAGCATTCCCCTATGGCTGTCAGTGATTCAGGCCCCATGACACACTCTCTGCAGCCACCAGCTTCTTCATAGGAACATGCCTGGCCTCTCTGCTCTGACTGGTCATACCTAGTCTTGGTTGGAGAACTTTATTCTGTAACAGGGCAGCAATTCCCATAGCTGGAACCCAAACCCATCAGGATTAATGAGCCATGGGAAAGAAACCCTCGTGTTCTTCTGACCAGAGGTTTCATAAGGAAAAACACAATTCACTTTGCCTTTGGTCCCAAACTTGACTGGCACGCAGTAGCCAGCTGTGACCATCCTTATTCAGAGCAGTGCTGAATAATGGGTGCTATGTCAGTGAGGGTGGACAGGATGGCTTGCTGCACCTGCAGTTGGGCTAAATCTTCCAGTTTTCTCTGTTTTCTTCCTTACATTCCTGGCCTTGACCACTGCTATAAGCTCACTAGAGATGACAATGATCAAGCATAGTGACTTCTCTCTTCTCCCTTGCAAGTGTCTGATTTTTTTTTGCTTTCCTGCCCCAGTATCCTGAAAGGGGGAACTTAAGCTCTTTGATATGTGCCATTATTTCCTCTTTGTGGTTGGATCCACATCACTGGTCCTAGATCTGCAAGTTCAGCCCTGAGGTGACTGTTTTTCCTAAATGACTAGTCATACTGCACATGTTCGTGCTCAGCCCAACTAGCCCACTGAGGCTGATCCCATCCAGATCTTCTGTTTTCTTTGGAAATGTTTGCCACCTCCATCACTGCTGACACCTTTTACTACTGCACCATCACATTAACTGACCTCTTGCTTTCTGGAGCCTTCTCAGCCCCAGTATCCTCCACTTTGCTGAGAGGGGCTGGTCAACTCCAGGGAAGTCTGTGAGGGGGAAACTCTGCCTTTCGGAGGTGGCAGAGCCCAGCCCAACAGCATCCCATCTGGGATACAAGAATTCATCTTTTAGGTACTGGCAGGATGTCTCCTTTATCCTCTTCTCTCCCCTAACCTCTGCTTTTCTCTTCCATCTTTCATTGGCCACACTTTCTCCTCTTCTTTCTAATAGCTATTTGCTTTAAATCATCTTCAAATCTTCCAACCGTTGCAAGTTAATTGTATTGTTTCCTGCACGAGTGATTGGAACAGCTTCTAATTCCTTATCTTTGTCTCTTTAGATGAAGCATTTGCTGATTTTATGCCAGAACGAGAGCTTTTTCCAATGTGACCTCAGCCAACCTTCCTTACTTCACCTATTAGCATCTATCACATTCATCTTCCACAAAAGCCACATCAAATTGTCCCCAACCTCTCCATGAAACTTAACATGGACTATCTTTGCTTATGCAGACGTCTCAGCCTAGAATGTCTCTCCCTTTTGTAACTCATGAATTCTTACTCGTCCTTCAAATCTCCCTATCACCTCTTCACCCCCATTCTAGGCAGAATAACCCCCGTGACACATTGAAGTCTGAATCTTGGAAATTTGAGGGAGGGCTAATCATGCATAGGTGCGCTGGTTGAGAGGTGTGGGCTCCCTGCATCTGGGGCAGAGGTGTGTAAGGAGGACGAGAAGAAATGTCACACTGCTGTGGGCTGAAGGGTGGAGCACCCAGATTCATGTGCTCATATGTTGGAGCTGTAACACCCCCAACTTCAGAAGGTAATTGTAATTCAAGGTAGACTTTTAAAGAGGTGGTTATGTTAAAATAAGGTAATTAGAGTGGATTTTAATGCAGTCTGACTAGTGTCTCTATACTAAGAGGAAATTTGGACATACAGAGAGACTTCAGGGGCACAAATGCTCAGAGAAAAGATCATATGAGGATGTGGTGAGAATATGGCCATCTACCAGCCAAGGAGAGAGGCCTCAGAAGAAACTAACCCCCTGACACCTTGATCTTGGATGTCAGGCCTTCAGAACTGTGAGAAATGAAATTCTGGTGTTTAAAGCCACTCATCTGTGGCATTTTGTCATGGCAGCCGGAGAAAACTAGTACAAGCATCCACTGAGGTGCTGGAGGCAATATGAGGACAAAATGGAGCAGTTCCAAGGGGAGTGCGGAATGTTTATGGCAGGAAGTACATTGATAAGAGAACTTCCTGGGTGATATACAGATGATCCCAAGTTCAGGACTAAATCTTGAGCTCCAAACGCTATTTCCATCTGCCTACTGGACATCTGCACTTGGACGCAGAATAGACATCTCAAACATGGCTCATCTTTTTCTTTCTATTCAAACTTCTTTACATTTTTTTCTCTCAGCAAGTGGCACTACCTACTATCGATTTAGAAATGTAGAAATATAGGGAATATTGTAGACTCTTCCTCATTCGTATGCTCAGTCAGTACACTAAGATTTATTAAGTTTATCACCGAAATATATGCATATATATATATAGAGAGAGAGAGAACATCTCCTTCTGTTTTATCCTACTGCTACTTCCTTACTCAAGGCTTCTTCATTTTATACTTTTTATTCATTAATAAATATTGTGGGGTACCTATTGCATTCCAGGTATTGGGTCATGCACTAGGAATACAATGACAGACATGATGGACACATTACTTGCCCTCATAAAGGATGTATCTAGTAGGGGAGACGATCACAAGGATACTGAATTATAATGCATTATAATTTTTCTAATTAGGCATTGAAAGAGATGATGAAAGTGATGATGAAAGTACTCAATGTCGGGATGGCATGAAGGTAGAGCACTTGAGTTTGGTGAATCAGGGAAGACTTCCTAAAGGAGGAGACAGCTTAGCTGAGAAATAAAGAATGACTAGGCATTCGCCTTATAAAATGGATAGTGGGCAGAAGAGGTGGGAAATGCTCTAGGCCAGTGTTTTTCAACCTTTTTAATCTCATGGCACACTTGAACCTACAGTTAAACTTCTGTGGCGCACTTAAATTAGGTTGATTTAAAAAAGAGTAAAAAGAGGCTGGGCGCCTGTAGCTCAAGCGGCTAAGGTGCCAGCCACATACACCAGAGCTGGCAGGTTTGAATCCAGCCTGGGCCTGCCAAACAACAATGACAACTACAACCAAAAAATAGCCAGGTTTTGTGGTGGGCGCCTGTGGTCCCAGATGCTTGAGAGGCTGAGGCAAGTGACTCGCTTAAGCCCAGGAGTTGGAGGTTGCTGTGAGCTGTGATGCTACAGCACTCTACCCAGGGTGACAGCTTGAGGCTCTGTCTCAAAAAAAAAAGAGTAAAAACAAGAATATACTTTTGGGCAGCACCTGTGGCTCAGTGGGTAGGGCACCGGCCCCATATACCAAGGGTAGCAGGTTTGAACCTGGCGCTGGCCAAGCTGTGACAAAAAATAAGCGGGCATTGTGGTGGGCACCTATAGTCCCAGCTACTTGGGAGGCTGAGGCA